TATTTTCGCCCTCCTCCTTTTGAAGCAGTTGCCGATACCTGCTGCCGTTTTGTGCTGTGCATCGGTGTGCGAAGCTTGTGTGCACACCCACTCCCAGAAACGAGTGGGTAGTTTAGCCGCGCCCGACGAGCTGTTCGAGGCGCGGACCCGCCTCCGCTGCAGGCGACACCGAGCGCTGCAGATGGCGTGGGCTGGTCACCCTCTCATTCGGGAGGCTCCGAATATCTCCTCTGGACTGGGGGCGGGGGGATGCAAACCAACAGAAATCCTCAGCGGGGGGAAATGTCCCGATGCCGCTGCCTCTTCGTGGAATCCGGACGCAACCGCTCGCTTCGCCGCTGAGTCTTGCCCAGAACGCCCCTCGAGAGAGGGCCGTGGAGTAGCGGTGCGTGTACCTTCCTGTCTTACCAGAGGTGTGGGCCCCCCCGGAAAAAAACAAAACAACAGGGAGTTGGAACAAACAGTTTTTCAAGCCACCCACGCCCAGATTGCTTGTGGGATTTAAGTGGTTTGCGCCATTCCGCCGCCCCCCCCGAAAGAAAGAGATGGGGGCCGCCTTGGGCCGTCTTCGAGGCATCTTGGGCCATCTTTGTCTTTGGTTGCCTGCATGGGCCGTCTTGGAAGCTCGGGACGCGGATCTTCTGTGTTTTACAACGGATCGCGGCCTCGGTAGCGCGGGTCCACCGTGTTCTGCAAGGTATCGTGGCTTCGAGAAGGGGGGGGTAATGCAGGCAAGGGTTCGCGGGAGGGGGGGGGGGTCCCTGGCCAGATTACAGGAGCCCCGCTAGGCAGCCCGTGGCATTCTTCAACGCCTCAGCGTGCATAGGGCACGGTTGTGGATTGGGGGCGTGCTGGGCTTCGCAGGAGCCATCTTGTGAGGGCGGGCTTCCGGGGCCCCTGCGAGACCCTCCTCTTGGCCCTCTTGCGGGCCTTAGTGGCCGACTTGGGGACAGCTTTGGCTGTGTTGGGACCTTCCTGTGCCATCTCTGGAGACTCTTCAGGGCCCCTTCGGCTGTCTTGGGCCTGTCTGAGACTTGGAGGCCTTCTTGGAACGTCTAGGGGAAAGGGTGAGACCGCGAACGTCATGTGGTTGTTGCTTCTCGAGGCCGTCTTATGAGTCCTTTCGAACCCTTTGTGGGCGCCTTCCAGACCTTGCGCAGTCCTGAGGCCATCTTGGTTGTTCTCGAGGCCTCTCCGGGAGCGTTGGAGCCCTTCTCTTGAGCCACCTTAGATGACTTGCTGGGCATCTTGGAGGCCACGGTGACTGGACTTGGAGGCTGCGAAGGCCAGGAAGGCGCACTGGGGACCTCGTGCGCGACTCTCTCCGCCCCCTTCTCCCCGACCTTTCCTTCCCCTCTCCACCCTTTCCCCCCGCCCCCTCTGACAGGATTTTGGCTCCAGGCGGATTCCCAGCAATCCAGGATGCACCTCAGATGGCCCCAAAGCGGGCAAACATCCCCCGAGCGCGTCTCCGATACCGCATCAAACGCAGAGGCTCCGGCTGGTGATGACCCATCGGCACGGGTCGGATATCACGAATATGATGTTGGTACCGTAAGCGAGACGCCCCAAGCATCGATTCATTCCCGTTCGTAGGGGCCAAGGGCATTTGCAAGTAGAGCAAGGTGTTTTTGTGCGCGCAGAAGCTTGAAGTGCCGAAGGATATGGCACAGTGGACAACGTGGTGTCCAGAATGACAAACGAGAGTAGTATCCGCGTTGAATCAAATTGAATCGATGGTGCTCCTGGTGATGCCACAGTGATATCCGATGATGAATCCGAATCAGATTCGAGTTCCAGTTCAAATACACGTACTTCTCTCGACGCGTTAAGAGTGGCTTTAGCACGCCAGCTTCCAAGGAATCTCATTGCAAACGTCTGGTCAAGTGCAGGAAGTCGCACAAGCACTGCCGCCGTCTGCGAGGACCCCCCTGACCCTGAAGTTCGGGCATCTGTTGCGAGACTGCCCAGGCCAATGCTTCATAGGGTATCAACGCCGTTGTCGAGAGACGGAGATCGTGAGATGTACTTATCTGATTCACCAGATCCATTTCTCGCTGAGTTGCAGGCGGACTTTGACCAAGCGGTCGTTCTGCATTTCCGCTGAAGTCTTCGCCGTCTCGCTTTGCAGGTCGTGGTTTGCTGATTCCAGGCCTCCTGTCGGCGTCACCCAGGCATACTCATACTATGTGTGCGTCGCCGCCCCCAGGGCGACGCGCGCACGGAGAGATCTTAGTGGCGGACGCTTTCTGGCCATGCCGCTCGGGAAACGATATATACTACAAGATGGATATTATATGTTCGGGTCGGACGCGCGCCTCCAAGGCGGACAAATAGTATCAGTATGTTTCTGTGCGTCCCATCCTGTGGACGCGAGTCCTCTGCAGCAGCCCCGGGAGTTGGAAAGGCAGACATTTGACGCATTTACCAGACCATTCTGGGAGCTTCAATTGTTCCCTCAGACGCCGTGGCCCATTATATATGTACTCGCCCCCCTGTTATCATACCTTTCGCCTCCTCTCGTACCCTCTTCCTCTTCATTCGCCTCCTCATCCTTCTCCCCGTCCTCGTTCTCATTATCCTCCTCCTCCCCATTTTCCACATTATTCCTCATTATATTTCTCCTTCTCATTTGCCTCATCCTCATCATTCCCATCAATATTCATCATTCTCTTGTTCCTTATTCTCTTCATTCGCCTCCTCATTCTCCGTCTCCTCCCCATTATCCTGATTCCTCTCATTATCCTCCTCATCCTCCTCCCCTCCTACATTATCATCTTTCCTGCCTTCATATCTGTGTCCTCGCTGCTTCTCTCTCTCTCTCTCACAATCGGAATCCTTTTGGAAAGCACCACAAAAAGGGATTCCATTTGAAAGCCTGAACAGGAACCACACGAAGAAGTTCCATTGGAAAGCCTCTCACCAGGATGCCTTACGTAGGAGAGCACCACAGAGGGATTCTATGGTAAAACCTCACAAGCGGAACCTTGTGGAAAGCACCACAGAGGTATTCTACTGGAAAGCCTCTCATAAGGAATCTGTTGGAAAGCACCACAGCGGGATTCTAGTGGAAAGCCTCACAACAGGATCCCTTTTTGGAAACCACCACAAATGGACTCTATTGGAACATCTCACAATCGGAATCTTTTGGAAAGCGCCACAGGGAGATTCGATGGGAAAGCCCCACAACCGGAACCCTGTGGAAAGCACCACAAAAGAGTTCCATTGGAAAGCTTCACCACAAGGACCTTTGGAAAGCACCACAGAGGGATTCTGGTGGAAAGCCTCACAACAGGAACCCATCGGAACATGTTACAAATGGCTCCTGTTGGAAAGCGTCATAAAGGGCTGGTGGGATTTCGAACTGCTCCTCGATCCTCGAACATCCAACACCACCCTACGTGTCATACAACATCATCCTACACGATCATCAACTACCCAACATCCTACACGTCATCACACAAATCATCGTCCAACTTATATTTTAAATGTCATCGTGCCTCACATCGAACAGCAGTTGCATCACCCATGATACCATACCACATCGTACCACTGACATCCTCATCATACTTACCATTCCACATCCTACATAATGTCATATCATCATACATGAGCCTGACCACGTGCAAATCGTCTGAAACATCACCAGCGTGCGACGAAAATCGCATCTTACGTTTGATGTAACGTAAGATCAAACGTAAGATGTTAAAGACGCGTACATCTTACGTAAGATGTGACCCTTGCGTCTCATGGGCCCACCAACATCAGTACAGGAAATCGGTCGCTACCGGTAGCTACCGGTATCCGCTACCGGTCGCTACCGGTAGCGACCGGTAGCGACCAGTACTCGTTACCGATTTCGGTGGGCCAAACCGAAACGACCGGTATCGCATTTCGCTGCCGAAATTTTTCGGTAACGCATGATCTGGGTCCTCCGTCCGGCAGGGTGCCGGCCAGAGGTGCGCCCGCCTCGGGCCCGCGGCCTCCAAGACCGGGGGTGGAGAGACCTCCTGCCCGGACGCGTCGATTAGCGACTTGGCCGTTTGCGGTTCGCGAGAGGGCGTCGCGGCCGTCTTGTTTGCGGGTCCGGGTCCCAGGCCGTTTTCACTAAGGGGAGGTTTACTAAGGGGAGGTCTATTACAGGGGAGGTTTACTAAGGGGAGGTTTGTCCAACGCCGAGAGTGGCCGTGGCCGGATTCCAGCCGCGCTCGCTGGACATGCCTTGAGGCACTAGGGGTGAGTGTACCGAGCGGGTCCAGGACTGGGATCAAATCTCGCCCCGGCGCCTTCCCGGAAGCTCTCGGAGCGACCTGGAGCGCTTTGGAACGACCTTTGGCGCCTGATACACCCAGAACAGCCAGGTCTCCGAGGTCCGGGCCGGGCAAAAGGGGGGGATTGGGAAAGAGGGGGTTACGAAATCTGCTGCATGCAGCTGGTTTTGGCCCCACCGAGGGGCCCATTCCTCGATACATGGGCGGGGCGCCGGGAAAATCAGCTACGTGAGCTGATTCTCACCCCCCCCCTTTGCTATCCCCCCCTTTCGCCCGACCCGAGAGGTCCCTGATGTTCCCCAATCTGATGTTGTCCTGGTCTTGGTTTCGCCTTGCCGTGGCGCTTGGCGCGTGCGTTCCTCGTCGGGTCTTGCCAGAAGTGCCCCTCGCCCAGGGTCCCCCCGGCTCTCCGACGGAGGCCCCCGAGGCCTCCAGAGCACCCCTGTCGGGGCCCAGAGGGCCCCACAAGCTCCCGGGTGGAGCGACAATCTGGGAGCATCGTGGGCCAGGGGCGCCTCTGGAACCGCCGACCTTGGCCCGTCTCCCTCGCACATCCCCCAGACCGAGCTGCCAGCCCCATCCCCGGAGCGAGCCTCAGCCAGTCCCCCTCCCCACGAGGGTGCTCGTTGGATACAGGCTTTGTGTGTCGCAGCAGCGTTCTACGGTTCGTGGGGTGGCCTCTGGAGCAACCCCTTGACCTTGGTCCGCCCAGCGACAGCTCCCCCCCCCATGGAGGGCGCCTCCGGAGCCGCCGCCGCCAGCCGCGCGAGGGGCATGGCGCCCCTGGGGCTGCAGCTCCCCGGGCTCGGGGGCCGCGGCCGCTGCGACCGGACGCTCCTGGCGGGGGGGCCATGTGCGGGGGGTCGCCGTGGTCAGAGGAGGGGGGCCGCATCGACTCGGCAGGAGGAAGCGTCACAAGCCTTGTGTGGAGCCGAAGGCTGGCTGAGGCTTCAAGACAGCGGTGGCAGCCCTGCCCGGCGGGCGGCGGGAGGGAGGGAGGAGGGGGGCGGGGCTGGGACTGGCAAGGGCAGAGGTCTCGGGGCCAGGTCCGAGGCAGCACCCGCTCCTCAGGAGGGCGAAGAAGGAGGGAGGTATGCGCAGAAGGGCCTGGCCCGCTGACTCCCAGGGATGGGCCCAGGGGGTCGGCCCGAGAAGCGGGTCCGCGCTCAGTCCGGACTGAGGAGCGGCAAGTGCAGGGTTCCGAGGACCAGGTCCGAAGCAGCACCCACTGTACGAGGGGAGGGGGAGGTGGAGGAAGGAGGGGGGAGGTGGAGGGGGAGGGGGAGAGGGCTCCCACTGGTTTGAGAAGCAGCCGCCCCCATCCTTGCAAGCATCCGGAACGTCAGAAGGTAGGAGCATCAAGCTCAAGTGTATAGTGGCCTTCGGCCCATCCTGGGTCGTCGGCCAATAGCCTCTGAGAGGCCTCTTGGGGTTCTTGGGAGGTCTCCTGGGGACCTCTTGAAAGCATCTTGGGGCGTAGCGGGGACATCTGTGTGCCTCTAGGGTCTTGTTGGGGGGCGAGGAGGCGCCCTCACAAGCCATCTTGGGGGAATAGCTTATTTTCGTGGGGGTGTTTTTGCACTGGGGCGACATTGGTGGCATCTTGGACCGTCTTGGACGTACAGACCCAAAGCAGGCATTACTAACACTGGGAAGGCACAAAACAACACGCCGAAGTTTGTCTTGATGATGTTGACCTTAGGGCCGGCCCCTCTGGCCTCAAAGACGGTCCTTCGGGGCCGTCTTGGAGCATGTTGTGTGTGATGCCCGCGGCCACGTTCCCGGCGCCTCTCGAAAAGTCACGCGGGAATGCTCGAGAGCGCGCGATCGAGAGCGCCATGCAGCGCCCGTGACTCGGAGGACCAGCGTGTCTAAAGAGCAGCTGCAGTATTCAATACAGGAGGGACCTGAGGACACGCCACTCGATGCCCACCGTACGGCGGCGGAAATGTCATGCGAGAGCACTCTCTTGCGCAGTTGTGCACGTTTTGCGTGTAGTCTTCAAGTCTCCAGAGAGGGACTCCAGTTGAACGGGATTGCGCCATCCACCCGTGCGGTTACTCCGCATATGTACAGGTTCGGGCCATGAAGCCGTATGCAGCATTCCGGCGGAAACCTGGTTTTGAATAGGAGGCGCCTTCCATCTGAGTATATGCTGCCAGCGTTCGAAAACGAGTGTTCGCGGCGCTGAGGCGAGAGCCACGCTCCGAAAAACACGTGCTTTCCGGAACGCTCAAGACGAATGTGCGCGACGCCGAGGCGAGAGCCACGTATTGATAGCAACCCGATCTCCATCCGTGCAGTTTCTGCAAACGCGCTGCCTTCAGGGCTATAGACTCTGTGGATATCATATGCGCCCGCCCGGTCGGCACGTCCGGTAGTGCTACGAGGCTGCTCTGTCTGTTAGTGGTGCAGAAGAGCAGGAGGAGGAGAAAGAGGAGAAGGAGGAGGAGTCTTGGGCTGCTCGGCTCCCTCCGTCTCATGTTCCCCCCGCACCTCATTGAAGTGAATGTCTTGTGCATTGAGTGTTTGTCCACTCCAGCTTGTTCATTGAATGACCAGCACATTCACCTGCATCATTCACCAGAGCTTGCAGAGACACACCGCGGTCGGTCTCATCACAGGTTGATTTTCAGACCAGGCGCGCCGAATCTTTCCTCAGTGTGTTTAGGGCACGCGGTGTCGGCATTAGTTCTCTTCGGAAGCAGCCGTCACTACATCGCATCGCGTCACGAACCAATGACACGTCTTCACACATCGCGTCACGAACGCACGGTCAGCTCACTCCGAAACAAATGAGGAATGAGGACGGAGGAGATGGGAGTGATAAGCGAGGGTGGCGACACACTGATGATGCCCCGGTCTTCGCAGCACACGGGTTAGGGACCTTTTTTGTCACGTCCGTTTGTCTGGTCCTCCCCCTCCTTCCTTTGCTTTACAAGCAGCTGGGAGGGAGGGCGCCCTACCATCTGGGAGTCAGGAAAACTGGCGTCGCACAGTTCTGGCCAACTCTCAACCGTCGGGGGCCCTCACTCGGCCCAGGGACCGTCAGCAAACCTACTCGTGATCAAAAGCTGAAGACGACGACGGACGTCTGGGAGGGATGGGGTGGCTGGAGGGCCGCTCCCCCGCGCGCGCCAGGTTCAGGCTGTCGATCAGGATCGTGGCCGCCTCCATTCCTGGGCTCGGCGCTCCTGGGGTGGCCTCTCAGGCATCGGGGGCGTCGAACAGAGGGGGGAGAAGGACTTTAGGTATGTGTGTGTGTGATTGTGTGAGTGTGTGTCTGCATGTGTGTGTGTGTGTGTTTGTGGTGCGTGCTTGCCCTCGCTCGGCTGGTTGCGGCTTGCGGGGCAGGGGTCACATTAGTCACGCGTCGCGTGCGGTCTGGAGGGCGCTGAAAGGCCACGCGTTATTCGCGTTTTGGGGCGCAAGGGCTTTTTTTACGAAAATGGTGTGCGGTATTGTAGTGGCCTCCGGCCAGTGTCGCCGATCCGAGACGCTTTCGTTGCTGCAGGAAGCACGCGATGGCGGTCATGACCGGCGACGACGGCGAGCGGTGAGGATGATGATGAGGACGTGGAATGGAGGCAGCGGAGTAGGATGAGGAGGAGGAGGAAGAGGATCATGATGAGGTGGAGGGGGCTTGGGGGTGGGGGGGCAGGAGTAGCAGGATGCTGAGAATTAGGAGGCGCAGGAGGAAGCGGGAAGTGGAATGGGGAGGGGGAGAAGGAGGAGCATGACGGGGATGAGTAGATTTTCGGCGGTTGTTGGAGATGTCCGGCGGTTGTTGGAAAGCCTCTTTGGGGCCAGGTGTTGGCCCTCTTTTGGTTGACACCTCGCCGATTTGGCGTCTTTTATTGCTTATATAAAAAAACTTTGTGTGCTAGAGCTATCTGCGTGCGTTTTGGATGCATTATTTGAAACTCTTGGGGGCCTTTCGGGGGCTTCAGGGGGCCTCTTCGGGGCCAGTTGGAAGCGTCTTGGGGTTTCTGCAGGCCCACTTGGGGGCCTCCGGGGGCCTGCTGGCCCTCTCAAGCGCCTCTTGGGCCCGTCCTGGGGCCCTCCTGGGCCTGTCAGGAGGCCTCCTGGGCCATCTTGGGCTCTCCTTTGGCCGTCTTGGAACCCTCTGGCGGTTTCTTGGGCCGTTTTGGGGCTCTCTTGGGCGTCTGCGACGCTCTGAAGGCCCAAGAGGCGAATATGCTAAAATTGTACGCTTTCCCAGGTGATGGGACACTTTTCGCTTCTTTGGGCTTTCTTTGGGAGGGAGGCCTTTCCAGGGCTTTTGAGGGCATTTTAGCGGCTTCTAGAGCCGTCTTGGGGACATCTTGGGCGTCTTGTAGCGATCGTTCGGCGACTCGGGGCCCTCTTGGCCCATGTCGGGGCCCTCCTGGGCGAGGCGGCCGTCCCGGAGTGAGCTGGAGCTCCGATTCCGCCCCGGAAATTAACTCGACCCCCCCGCCCCCCGTCCCCCTACCCTGGCAGAGCCACCCGGGCACCCACCCCCCAGCCTTTCAAGGAAACCACATGCCACAATTTGATGGTTCTAGTGACAAGGCGCTCGGGGCGATGCCAAACAGTTAAAAGCAAATGATCAGTGAAGACTGATAGAGACCCAAGCAGCAGGAGGACACGAAGAGCAGGAAGAGGACAGACGGCGGGGAAGGCCGAGGAGGCCGAAGAGCGAGAGGGGCAGCCCCTCAGTTTTGGGGGCAGAGCGGGCCTGATGTCCAAGACTTCGGCACCTTGTATGGTCACCACCAAAAAACAACACGCAAGCACGTCCAGCACGGAAGCAGTGCGCAATCCTCCCGCTGATTGGGGACAGGCACGACTGGAGAAGGATGACGAGGAGGAGGAGGAACATGGAGTGGCAGGAAGGGCAGGAGGAAGTGGAGGGCAAAAATGCGACGCGGGGGTAGAGGCACAAGTAGATGTAGCACAACTGCTGATAGCCGTTCCATGTGTGGGTGGAGGCCGAAGGGCGCCTGGCGGCGGGCACACTGGTACCGGTCTGTCAAGGCACGCGGCTGCGCAACGTCCCACGCCAGGGTCTTGCATTGAATTCTGGAGTTGGGGTCGGAGCCGGGAGTCGTAGTCCACGCCCCAGGTGGAGGTGGAGTCGGGGGTGGGGCCGAAGCCAAAGCAGGCGCCAGAAGAGGAGTCGAAGCAGAGGTCGGAGCTGGTGTCGGTCGCCGGAGCGGTAGGCACGAAGGAGCCAGTGGCGACAGTCGGCATGAGAGCAACGCCAATGCGGTGTCGGGGTGGTGGTATTGATGGTCGTGGTTGTGGTGGTGTTGCGGGTGGCTGGCTTGGTGGCAATGGGCGTGGTATCCACGTGCTCCCCGTGATATCCGCCATAATGTTAATGGTATGTGCGATTCGAGCCAAAGTCCCGGGGGTTTGCGACCCAGTACCCACCAGCACAACACTTGTACCCCTTCTTCTGTCAGTCATACCTTCTGCTCGTTGCCTTTGGCCCAGGCCGTGCAGTTACTTGATTGGACATCGAGACCTTACCCACCCTTGCTGCACTGTTTGGGTCGCAGGGGTACTATTTCACAATTCGGCCAGGTCGCAGGTCAGCCTTTTCGGTCTGGGCCATTCTTCCCAGTTTCTTTGGCCGGGGTCGCCTTGGTGACCGTGGGCGGCGGCCTGCCGCTGGGGCCCGTAGAACTTTACAGCTGCCTTCGGTTCGATTTGGGATCGGGTGCGGCCATTGCCGCATGCCTGCCTCGGCGGCTTGCGGGGGCTGGCGCCTGTGTTCCACGCCCATCGTATAACCGTCTCACCCGTCCCAGTGTGCTGGACGGGTGTGGCGGGGTGTGCACAAGTTGGGCTCCATCGAGAGGTGAATCAAGTGTGCTTGGATATTTCGACAATGTTTTAGGAGGCGGCCGTTTCTTCCTTCGGCCTTTGCTCCAGGCCCGGGCCAAGCATGGTATAACGCAGATCTTGCACGCTGTCGCTCGAACGATGTTTGCGTGCGCGTGTGTGTGTGTGTGTGTGTAAGTGTGTAAGTGTCTGTGTGTCTGTGCGTCTTTGTGCGAGTGTGTCTGTGTGAGAGAGAGAGTGTGTGTGTGTGTGTGCTTCCACGCCATTTGACTTGGGCCAGCCCGCGTGCGTTTCGCTCCCGCTCGACCTTCACTACGCCGCACCGCTGCGCGCGTGGCCGCAGCACCAAAAGTGTGTATGTGTGTACATAGCTGCGGCCCGCTTCGGGACTCTAAGCGGTCTTTGAGTGCTCGGGCGTTCCTAGTCGCGCACGCGCGTTCGCTGCTTTGCGACCTTCTCCGCCCTCTCGCGTTTGCAGGGCCGCGACGCCACAACTTGTGCGTGTGTGTGTTTGTGTGTGTATGTGTGCGCGCGCGTGTGTGTGCGTGCCTGGTCGAGCGAGGCTTCGTCAGCGTGTCCACCACTAACTGAAGCCAGGGGGACGAGGCCAACCTTGTCATCCTTTACATTACCCGTGCGAGTTCCACTGGGCAATGGGGATTCGTGGACGACCCCCACCGCAACAACGTTGCTTTCACGCGTGCGCAGGCCGGAGTCATCGTGATGTTGAATGCCAGGATGGCGGCTGCGGCGACCGAGTTCCAAATGCTTTGCAGATTGGGCGGAATCAGCCGGTCTCCGGGCCAGCTTCGACGGAACCCCAGGCAAGCGAGACGTGTTCAGCGAGACCCCCGGCTTTTCATCAGCCAGAGTGAGCACGGGCGGGCCCGATCGGCTCTCACACCCCGGCACCTTCCCATGAGGAGGTGCGGTTGGCAGCGGAACAGGAAAGCCGCAGCGACGAGCGGAAGTGCTAGCGGATCGCCACTCAACGGGCCATCTGCTTCCAGACCGTGTATGCAGCGCCGCTCCCCGCCGGGCACAGTTGGAATATAATGAGCGAGGAACTGCGGGAGACAGGCACGCAGGTGCCGATCCCGCCCTAGCCGCCGTGCTATATTACATAGTTTGCCTCCACCCCCACATGTACGGCCTTGGGGATTCGCCCGCAGACGTCTACGAGCAGTGCCGGAAGCTGGTCAGCCATGATGGGTACGTGTACGACAACGCGCTCGGCACTGACGCCTCCAACCACGTCTACACAGCGGCCCGGGCAGGGTTGCTGCATATTGCAGGGCTGCAGCCCAGCTCCGACCCAGGCAGCACTAAAGCGAATGATCGCCTTCCCCCCCGCTTTCAGGAGGGCGTTGCGGAAATCCGTTGGAAATGGCGCATTGACCAAAGCCCCCGTGGCACTGCCAGGCGTCCCCCAACCGCCTGGCGCGGGACAGCGTGCGAATGCAAGCGCCATCAGGGCCCGCCGTCGTGCCAGCACCTTGCTGCCCTCATCGGGCCCCAGGAGCAGCGAGACGAGGTCCTGTGCGGCTCGCTCAAGGACAGCGCTGGAAACCCCGTCCAGCGCGCCTGGGCCAACGCGACCCTGGTACTGATGCTCCTGCTCATCAGGGAGCCCCGACCCACTCTTCCCCCGTACGGGAGCCTCGGCCACATCGGTGACATCCTTGAGGCCACCCTGTGCATCTGCCCACCATACAATAATGCTCGCTTGTCCGTACGTGACAGCTTTGGAAGGGTGCGCAACCTCGGGGATGTAGACTTCCGCCGGCTCGTCGGCCGCCTCGAGACCTTCATCAAGGCATGCTCCAGGCTCGTCACTGTCGCTCACCGCCGCCCCGACGTCGGCGGGGCGCACCCCTCCGCGACCTGGAAAGAGGCCTCCGCGGACGACTTCCCCCTGGTGCCCGCCCTCCAGGCCCTCGGCATTCTGGCAACCCCGGCGGGCCTCTCCAGCCTGCAGGCCCATCGCTGCGCGGTCTGCGCCCTTTCCCAAGCCCTTCCTCGGGTCCGCATGGGGTCTCTTGCCCGAAGACCACGAGTCCGCCACCCCGCATTACCTAGGGCCCCCCCGACGGGTGCGCTACCGTCGCGCCCCCCCCCCCCCCCCCCCCCTTGCTCTGCGACGGGGGCAAGCGCTTCCAACCCGCAGGGCGGGCCCCCCCCCCCCCCCCCACATTTTCTGCGCCAAATGCGGGCAGGGCCCATTCGACCCCAGACAGAAACTGGAGGCGCGTGGGTGGGCCCCGCGATCAGAAGAACAGTGGCTGCCAGCCGGCTGGAATGCTACAGGAAGGGCGTCGATTGCCGACGGCATTGCGACGCGCGCTGGGGGAACAGCCTTTCGGCCAAAGGATCTCCCGCGCCAGCGGGCGACAAGATGGCGGCGCATCTGGAGGACCTCGAGAACACCGGGCCCACTGCCCCGCGGTGCCTCCCCGGCCCCCTCCTCCCTGGCCGCCCCGCTGCCGAGCGCACCGCTGTAGACGCCCCTCTGGCGGCTCTGCCCCCAGCGCCGGAGGGCCCCCGCGGCGCCGCCCACGCCCGCGCTACCACTCCCATTCTCCGCTCTATCGACGTTTGGAAGACACTTCGACTTCGCTGCCTGTGGAAGCGCCAGTGCGATCGCTGCCAAAACGACGCCCCCCGAGGCAATGGCCATGTGGAGAGGCACCGCTGGGCGCCTTCATCTTCCGCCGCGGAACGGAGGCCTTGGCCGATCCCGCGCGCGGTCTTCCCGGCCTTCCACGCCCGTTCCCAGCTGTTCGCCAGCGCGCAGTGGAAGGCCACCCGGTTCTGCTCCGATTGCTTCGCGCACCCGCGAGGTGCCCGCCCCAGTCATATCAGAGCCTTGCCTGAGCGGGGCGGGCGCCGTGCTGTTCCCCGGGCCGCTCCCAAGAGGGACAAGAAGCCGTCTCCGGCGTCTCCCGCGCCCGTCGCCCCGGCGCGCCCCTCCAGAAGCGTTCGCCTTCCATCGAAGGGCGGTGGGCCTTCGGTGGAGCTCCCTATGGGGCCACGAAACGTGTGAGGGGTGTGCCGATGATGATGATGATGATGATGATGATGGTGATGATGATGACCGACAACCACGATGTTGATGATGATGATGATGACGATACTCATGATGATGCGCATGATGAGGATGGTGATGATGATGGGAGGAGGGGGGAGGGGACAGCGGGAGGAGGAACGCGGGGCACCGTCTCTTCAAAACGAGGACCCAACACCACAGGATGGTGGGGAAAAAACAGTCACGCAAGTCGAGCGCGAACAGCCAAGAACCCGCGGACATGCGGGCCACTGCCTGGTCTAGCGTGCCGTACGCGACGTCGGCATTTGGCATGCACTCGTTGACTCCCCCCCGCCTAAGATCGACGATTGAACGCGCTTTGAAGCGCTCAGTTTCCTCGGCCTCGGCGTCCGCCCCGGGGCGCGGCTTCAGGATTAAGTCGCACGGGTTGACGTTGAGGCGTTTGGGCGGAGGGGCGTCGCCTGCAGGGGAAACAGAAACCTTCCCATTTTCAGCAGGGCGGTCCCATTCGCGTTCGGCCCACGCGAGCTGGGACGTGACGGAGGGATGATTGCGCGCCTGCCTCGGAACGACAGGTGACGCCCCGAGAGAATGCCCGTGCCGCCAGGAACGCAGCAGGGCGGGGTCCGCGCCATTCGCGGACAGAATCGAAGCGCAGGTGAAGGCCAGGGACGCCCCCCGCATTCCTGTAGAGCGGAATTTCCATCTTGGACCTCAGCTAAGAGAGGGTCCATCGTCGGAAACGTGCTGCTTGAGCCAGCGCTGCGAGGAAGGATGCGGGAGAGGTCTATAGGAGGGAGATCAAACGGAGGGCTGTAGCGTATGAAGGAAGAGGGGGAGAGGAGGGCCCCGGATGGGAGCGAGGCGCGATTGTCTTCGTGGTACTATTTGTGCCGAGCCCCTTGCTCTTTCCACGGGGGCCACCACGCGCTGGCGATGTGCGAGGCAGAGCGTGTGCCGCAGGCGGATGGGTCCCTCAGGTGTGGGCGCCGCCGGAATGTTTGCCGCGGGCGCGCGGCCTCTCCGGGGCGGGTGACGCCGGCCTTTTGTCGACAAGGCTCGGAGGCCTCGCCCCCCTCTTCATCCTCCTCTCCTGAATGGGAGGGGGGGGGGGGGGGCGGGAAGGAGGGAGGGGAGGCAAGCTATGTATAAGTGTGTGCGAGTAGAGGGAGGGCGAGGATGCGACTTGGAGGGGGCCGACGGTCGCTCGTCGTCTCTGCCGGGGTCTGGCGGAAATGGCCGCCCTCGTGTATATAATGCCCGCCGCGCCCCTGACTGAAGCCCCAGTTGGGCAGGGGGGGGAGCGAAGGGAAACATTATGAAAGCAAGAGAATGGGAAATGGATACATAATCGGCGGGAGGGGGAAGCGCAGGGGCACGAATGGGGCACCCAGGGCTGCCAACCCGGCTGCAACGGATTCGCACGAAGAAGTATTGGAGTGAGATGTGGTGCAGCCAGGACCGCTGACCAGCCGCCTCGGACAGATGGATGATTTTACAAAAGGGACGGCGAAGTGCCAAGACACGAATGGAACGGCACGAGCTGCCGAGAGGGTGCCACGGACACGCCCAATAGGATCTGGGGGTGTGAGGTGAGACGCGGCGCAGCCAGGATCGCTGACTAGATGCATCGCGGTGCGTAGCAGGCGGTAGGCAGTGAAACCGCCGAATACCTGATGGGGGAACTGGGCGCCGACCAGGTACGTCGACCAGGAGCTTCAACAGAGAATGGAACAGCCAGGACCGCTGCCAGGAGAAGCCCGACGACCAAGGGCATCGACAGAAGCCGGCGGCAGCGCGGGGACGGCTAGACCCCGACCCTTGGAACAGGGCGCCTGCGCGCGAACCGAATCCAGCAAAACGCACGAGGAAACAAACGAGGAAGACGAACCAGGACCCGCGACCCCGCAGAAGCCCCTTTCCCCGAGTGCACAGCCCCCTAAGAAAGGACGCTTCCCTGCGCGCCCCCGTCGCCGCCTCCCATCTGGGCATTGCGCGCCCCGCCATTGGTGCGCCCGCGCGCCTGCACGGTGCCCCCCCCCGCCAGGCCGGGCCACCTCTGGCTGGCCAGGCCCTCTACGCGGCCAGCCCCCTGCGCGCCTGACAGCGGTCACCATTGGCCGTCGCCCGAGCTCGCCCGCCTCTCTCCGCCCCTTCGCCCCGCTGGGTGGCCCCTCCTTCGGGGTCGCCAGCTCCTCGCCGCGCGGTTGCACTTGTTCGGTGCCTCCCCCGCTTCCCCGTGCACCCGCGGTGCCACCCCCCGCGCGCACTCGGCCCCCCCGGGTGCTATGCTCGCTTTTCTGCCCGCTTGCCCTGCCCCCCCGCCGCAGGGCCGTGGCCTTCCGGCGCCAACAGCCGCGGCGCGCCGCGCCGCTCGCGCCTCGCCCTTCCGGCGGCGGCCGCTGCGTCTATCTTCCAGCCCCCCCCCCCGCGCTGCCGTTCCTATATTCGCCTGGGTGGAGTCCCCTGCCACGCCGCTGCATCTCCTGCCTCGGCAGGTCGGATCGCCGGCTTTCTGACGGTTTTGGGCAAGCCCCGCCTGCGGCCCCCACCCTGGCCGCCCCCCTCTTCGGGGCCGGCTGGCCCTGGCCGCTCCCCTGGCCGGTCCTCGCCACATTGTTTGGTTTTTCAGGCCAGCCCGCAGCCCTCGCATCGGGTCAGCCGGTTGGCCTGCTGCTCGCTGGTCCGCCCGCCGCGGGCCCTCGTCAGGCACCCGGGCCACCCGTCCTCCCGCGCGCCGCAGTGCCGTGGATCTCGGCGCCTCGTTTTGCTCCTCCTGCTGGACCCTTCCTAGCTACCCCCCGGCCCCTCTCCTGAGGTGGTCATCCCTGGTTGTTCTGTCGCTTGGACGGTCGGCTCGGCTCGGTCTCAGCACTCAGCTGCCTTGCTGTGCTGCCCCTCCCCAGCGCCGCCTGGGCTTGTTCCCCCCCCGCCTCGCGCGGCTGCCTCTGGCTGCCGCCCCCCCGGCTGCCCCGCGGCCGCCGCCCCGCCGCCCCGGCGCTGCCCCGCCGCCGCCCAGCCGCGCTCTGGGCGGGCCCGTCCTCTGTCTCCTGCTTTTCCGCGCCGGGCGTTTCCATGTGTCTTCGCGTGCATTTCGGCAGAATCTGCAGTTGCATGCCATGCGTGCGCTCCATCCGCCAGCGCAGCCATTCTGCCTAGCCGCCGACGCAAAAACATGTTTTTGTTTTCTGTGTGTGTGTGTGTGTGTGTGCGTGTGTGTGTGTGCGTGCGTGCGTGCATGCGTGCGTGCGTGCGTGCGCGCGCGCGTGCGCGTGCGCGTGTGCGTGCGCGTGCGCGTGCGCGTGTGCGTGTGCGTGTGCGTGTGCGTGTGCGTGTGCGCGTGCGTGTGCGTGTGCGTGTGCGCGTGCGTGTGCGTGTGCGTGTGCGTGTGCGTGTGACAGTGCGTTTGCGTGTGCGTGTGTGCGTGTGCGTGTGCGTGTGCGTGTGCGTGTGCGTGTGCGTGTGCGTGTGCGTGTGCGTGTGCGTGTGTGCGTGTGCGTGTGCGTGTGCGTGTGCGTGTGCGTGTGCGTGTGCGTGTGCGTGTGCGTGTGCGTGTGCGTGTGCGTGTGCGTGTGCGTGTGCGTGTGCGTGTGCGTGTGCGTGTGCGTGTGCGTGTGCGTGTGCGCGTGTGCGTGTGCGTGTGCGTGTGCGTGTGCGTGTGCGTGTGCGTGTGCGTGTGCGTGTGCGTGTGCGTGTGCGTGTGCGTTGTGCGTGTGCGTGTGCGCGTGCGTGTGCGTGTGCGCGTGCGCGTGCGTGTGCGCGTGCGTGTGCGTGTGCGTGTGCGTGTGCGTGTGCGTGTGCGTGTGCGTGTGCGTGTGCGTGTGCGTGTGCGT